ATGAACAAGACTTTCGCCTAGTGCATTTCTTTTGAGAGTATAAACTTCTGAATTACAGATGCATTTGCTATTGAAGTGTTTGATGTGATACAGGCAATGCACCTGCTAACTGGGAAAAAGTGCTTGAAGGAATCCGTAAAATGAGGTCTGCAGAAGATGCACCTGTAGACACTATGGGATGTGAGAAAGCTGGCAGTGTTCTGCCTCCTAAGGTACAATGTTTCATTCTGGTGTAGGTAGATATATTGGAAAAATGGATGATTTAACTCTGGTGATTCTTAATTCATCCTTTCATGCTGTACTCTTACCATTTCTGGTGCCAATTTTGGTTCTTCAAGGTCTTGTATTTTGTATTTGAGTCTTTAATGAATTATTTGTTATCAAAATTTGGGATTTAAAGAAGAAGGGCACCATGCTTTATATCATTTGAGACCATCACATAAAATTGATTGAATCCACACATATTTATTAGCTAGAGAGACTCCATAAAGCCAATGGAGAATGTACTTCATTGTAATTTAAATAGTTTAAAATGCCTTTTATAGGCAACTAAATTGTGCTTATTATAGCCACTTTGGAGCACCAACTGGTTTAGCATAATATTCAATGTTGACCATGAATATGTTGGATGGATGGACAGGTTTCATATCACATCATTAGCTACAAAAGCTTTTATGGAAAGACATATTGCTATTTTCTTATTAGCCGGGACACTAGCTTCAAACTCCCTCAATGTGGTCTGGATCCTGGAATTACAATTTCATCAATGATTAGTACTTATTGCAGTGTTTGCCGAAGATCCTTTGTGTTGTGAAGACATTTTGTTTCAGATTCTCATTTACTGATGCTTTTCTCTATCATGAAACTTTTGTTTATGCTTGAAATGTCTTATAAATGGATTTGTCTTCTATGTCTCACTATCTGTCAGGAAAGAAGGTTTGCTGTCCTGATATCTTCACTACTATCCAGCCAAACCAAAGATCATGTTACTCATGGTAACTTCCTAGTCTTTTGGTTTAATTTACAATTAATATGCCTCTTTAACTAATCATCTTGTTGAAGTATTACATGTTGTGGTTATAACTTGCAACTGTAGGAAATCAGGACATTAGTGCATGTTTGCTTGGAGATAGGGAAAAGTTTTCCATCAGAAAATTCTTTAGAATTATACTTTGACAACTGTATTATGCTATATAGATATCTTCAAAGCATATCATGGTTATGGTTGATTGTAAGCTAAAATGAAATACTGCTAAGATACTGGTCTCAGCATTTGGTGAAGAGCAAAAATATTACAAAGTAAATTGGTCAACTTCAAATATAGCTGTAGAAATCAAAATAGGACTCCCTGTTAAGTCTGTACTTTGATTACCTAATAAAGCTACCACAAAGTGTTATAATCAGCTTAGAATTGTTCTTAATACAAAGCCTTATAAAATCTCAGCCAGAGGTGTTCAATGTTGATTGTCAATATGGGTTCATTTTTCCTTTTTACAACTGGATCCCTAAGAAAAATTTTCTCATGTTCTTAGTGAAGAAGTGCATCATCATTGAAACCTGATGCATCATGCATATATTGTTCATTGTGATTGGTGAATTTCAATCCTCATGTCAAGATTCTCTAAAGTAACTATACACTTTTGAATTTAAGGGATGCCTTAAGAGTTCATGCTTGTAGTCTTAACCGTGGAGGGGAATGATGCAGAGGAAGTTATACACTTTTGTATTTATAGATAAGCCGGACTCATTGGGAGAAGAATTGCTTCTTGTAATAAGAAAAGTGTATAGCGGTACATAATCATTTTAGACACTGGGAATCATATTAGAGTTTCTTCTAGTACCTGTAAATTTGGGAGATTTTTTTAATTGTGTGAATTGCTTCAAAATTATAGTGGTGCAAGATTACACCTTGTTGTGTCGTCAATGGTCATGCAAACAACTAAAAGTAGCTTTGAAGCAGTCCAATGCCATTTTCAAATTTTGCATTATCAATAAGCTAAGGATGCATAATATGAAATGTAAATGACTGTATTATGTGAGGCTGTCATCATTAAAACCTTGTATATGCTTTGTATTTTCTGATGTAGATATTATGATCTTTTGTGTTAATCATATATCCTGACTTTGTCAATTATGTTCTTCACACTCTCACAAAGATACTCCTGTGCAGGTGCAATTCAACGTCTCATTCAGAATTGTCTTATGACTCCCAATGCCATTGATAAAGCTGATGAAGCAACTATTAAGGACTTTATCTACCCGGTATGTTTTTCTAGGAGTCACTTGAAAATGTAGGTATATAAGCGTTTCTTTTTGACATGTGCAAGTCCGGACTAAGTGACAAACCTGAAGAATTATTACTGTGAAAGATGCATTTTTTGCCCGTAACTTTAAGCCTATTGCCTTCTCTATCACTTCCCCTCTCCCCTTCACCTCACGCTCTCCTTAGCTACTGCAGTAGTTATGAAAATTCATATTTGTTTGTTTTAGGTTGGGTTTTATACAAGGAAAGCTATTAATATGAAGAAAATTGCAAAAATCTGTCTCATGAAGTATGATGGGGACATACCAAGCTCATTGGAGGAATTACTCTTACTTCCAGGGATAGGCCCTAAGATGGCTCATTTGGTAGGGGTTAATTGCATAACTTATTTAAATTCGAGGTATGCTGGATTTCTAAAGTCATTTGGTTGTGGGGTGCTTTAGGTTATGAATACTGCATGGGATGATGTTCGAGGGATATGTGTAGATACTCATGTGCACCGCATTTGCAATCGGCTTGGATGGGTGTCTCGGCCAGACACAAAACAGGTACCTCATACTTAAATCATTTCCAGTATTAAAACTTCTTAGTTTACATATCTATCTGAATTTAATCAGGATTGTAGTCAATTCCAAATTTTGTAACTTAGTAATGTATTTCAGCATTTTAAGGCAACAGCAGATGTATTAGACATGGTTTTGCTACCTTTTTGGTGTAATTGCATGAAGCTGCCCTTTTATCACTGATTGTGTACATCATTGCTTCTAGCTTCTGAATGGAGATGACATGGATTTGATGCTTGTAAATATTTTGATGAGTACATTAATACATCTTTTGGAGGAACATGTTGGGGAAAGAACCCAGTTAGAAGTCACCACAATATTTTCTAGTCATCTAAGTTATGGTTAACAAGTGGATGGAAGGCCTCTAGAGTTGTTGTACCTTGTGACAACTTTTACTTGAAAGAAGCTAAATAATATTTGTTCCTCTCTCTTTCCCCATTTTCATTTTTCCTAATCATCACTTCTGCGTAAATATGTTCATACAACTTCAATCTATGTCAAGTGAACTTTAAAACCTCATACAAATAATGACATAAGAAAAAAAAAAAAAACCCCTCATACAAATAATTTGATGTATTAGTGCTGAGTCACTACAAATAGGAAATACAAGTTGTCTTTCTTCCATGACAAATTTGTTTAATGGATGTCCTTTCCCTCTTCATACTAACCAAATGGCATATCAGTACTCATTATCTTGTCGGTTTGCTAGAAAACTTTATATCCGGAGGAAACAAGAGTGGCATTGCAACAGTGGCTTCCAAAGGAGGAATGGGTCCCAATTAACCCTCTTTTGGTATGTATTGCTAATTCATTTATCTGACTTGCATGCACATACATATAGATGGGATGAATTTAGATGCATGCATAGATGATCATCTTTTCGATAAGGGTCTGTAGATTTATTGTATAAAATCTCCTTTTCCTGATTAGCCTCGAGTATGTGAGTTGCCTACATAACATGAAGCACAATTTCAAATTTCCAATATCCTCATTGTCAAGTTTGGAGAAGTTTCCAATCTTGGGATAATTAAGTGACAAAGTCCAATTTTGTTTATAAAACTAAATCATCTGATTATATAGTTTGCTTTCTTCAACAAGTATGTTGCAGTTTCTTTTTATCTTATGTTACAAAAGACCCATGTGCCAGCCCTGAATTTATGCAATTAATGCCAAACAACCTCTTGCTTTTATGACTAAATTTGAATTTAAACAGGTGGGATTTGGCCAGACAATTTGTACTCCACTCAGGCCACGGTGTGAAGTCTGCAGCATTACTGAGTTTTGCCCGTCTGCATTCAAGGAAAGTTCAAGCCTGTCCTCCAAAGTAAAAAAGTCTGGTGTTAGGAAAAAGCTTTCATCAAGTTAGTTCTTGCAAAGGGATTTTAGTGTCCTTTTCTTCCTTCTTCCAAATTTTGCCCTTCTGTTTATGAAGCAACCCAGGAGGGGGGAAAAGCATCAGTCAAGGTTGTTCTATCTTGTGCTGTGGATAGGATGTTTTTGCCAGTATTGCTAGGAGTGGACCTTCCTTTGTATATTTTTGTGGCAGGGCTTAGAAGCCACATGCATTTTGGGGCAATACCAGTGTATAGTTCTTACAACAAACCTATATAAACACTAATTCAGACATTCATTGATACCCTCAAGGGTGGGAAATCAGCGGCCGGGTAAATTGGACTGTAATTTACAGCAAACCCCATATTCTAATATCTATTAGATGTATGAATATCCTTTTTGAAGATTAGAGTTGTTAATGTTTTATTTTCCATTTTACCAGCAGCATGAGGTAGTTGCTATCGAGTATTTGCACTCAGTAGGAAGGACTTGCAGGTTTGATCATACATGTTTGCCAAAATGGAAAGTGTGTATTTGCACAAATAGTGCATTCTTTAAAGGACTTCAGTCATTTACATGCTCAGGCCTAGGCAATCAGCATAATGTTAAAATGAACTGTACGTCCCTCACCTTTTAATAAATTATTTTACTTTGATCCTTGAATTTTCCAATTGTTCCTTTTTTACTCCCAAACATTTAGAAGTTGTTCCAATGATGGTCTTATTGTTATATAACTCTATTAGAAAAATGGAAGGACTAAATTGAATATGTAAAAAACTTTTACTGCCTTTTAGCAAATTCCACCATGGGATTGAATAGAGAAAGAGGGGGGGAGGGGAAAATGATCATATTTCTTCAATGAAGAAAGCTTAATATTCCAAGACCATCCCAATTCATGTCAAGTGAAAGCGAAGAAGAGAAAACGAAAATCAGAGAAAAACAATGACAGTAACGGCAGGGATCGGGTACGCGTTGGTGGCGTTAGGACCGTCTCTCTCGCTCTTCGTCTCTGTTATCTCCAAAAAGCCCTTCCTGATCCTCACTCTTCTCTCCAGGTTTCCCTCATTTTCCCTCCGTTTTCACTCTCATCAAACAAACCCGACTCTGGGTTTTTTTTGTTCCCTATTTTTTATGCGGAATTTGTTGGCCACTTTCAAATTTTAATTGTGTTCGTTGTAATGCAGTACGTTGGTTTGGCTTATAAGTTTGATAATATTATCTGGAATATGGAGAGCTTTCCTTCCTTTGAAATCAACATCATGGTGGCCTTTTGCAATTCTTATATTGACATCCGTTGCCTTTCAGGAAGGACTTCGCCTTCTTTTCTGGAAAGTTTACAAGTAAGCCAATTCGATTAATTTTAGGTATTTGTTTTCGCCTCGATACCTGCCTTTTCTTTCAGAAGTAGAAATTAAAAACACTCGTAAGTTCTTATCTGGGGAGAACGAAAACTTGTGATTTGTACTTTGTTGGTGATTTATTTGTGTAATTTGCTTATTTTTAATCAATAATGTAGTTGTTGCTATCAGCTATTTTGTTTCAATTTTGTAGCAAACTTTAGAAGAAGAGAAAAAGAAATGATAAAACTCAAGTAGTAACAGTCAATGAAACAAGTTCAGTGTTAAAGAACATAGAGGGGGTCCTTCATTAGTTGTATAGTTATGTACCGGTGTATAACGCTGTTTTGCTGTGAACCCAAGTTGGATAAAGGCTAATGTGAACTTTCTCAGGAGATTAGAAGACATATTGGATGCTTTTGCTGATAGGGTCTCAAAGCCACGCCTATATCTGACGGATAAGATGCAAATTGCTCTAGGTAAGATTCGAAGACGTTTCTAAATTCACTCTGGTTGTCTAAAATACTATTCTTTACTTGCTTTGGAATTGACTGTGCAAAGATTTTTCTGTTAGAATTGATACATAAAGGGCAAAAAAATACTTGTATTTTTTAAGCACTGTTGTAGGACAGAGTGAAGGTGATTTTTTCCTGCAGTTTGTAAAATGACCCTTTTCAATTATTCAGTCAGGCCCTTTGCTGTGCTGACTTTGCAGTGGATTCTAATTCTAGGAAGCCTCATGTTGTATGCATGACATGTTTATTGGGAATATAGATAATAAGTATAAATCTGGCCATACTATGATCCCCTTTTTCCCTTATTCTTGTTGGTTTTTCTGGAAATAATAAATTATATTGTTATCACTTTTTATGTTCTTTTGGAACGGTATTTCTTGCTAATTTGATTTTTGCACTGATATCGTTTCCATTAACTGCATCAGCTGGCGGGTTAGGTCATGGTGTGGCACATGCAGTGTTCTTTTGTCTTAGCCTCTTAACACCAGCATTTGGTCCAGCAACCTATTTTGTTGATAGGTGTTCACAGATACCATTTTTCCTTGTTTCTGGTGAGTTATGTGTTTTTTACTATAAATTTGTTGCATGCATCTTATATCTTTGTCGATTGCATTTATACATCAGGCATACCTCTATCTGCAGTTTATGTGCACTGTTTTTCATTTCATGCTACCTTAGATTGAGATTGGATTACTAGAATGGAACTCTAGGACGTGTTGGTCTTACTTTTCTTTGTGGATTGACACCTCTTACAAACTGTGTAAAAATTGGATTTGAAGTTAAGTTTATATTTTCTAATAGCTTTTATCTATCATTGCAGCAATCATTGCTCTTGCATTTGTAACGATTCACACTTTCTCAATGGTTATTGCATTTAATGGGTATGCTGAAGGGAATAAAGTGGACCAACTTTTTGTTCCCTCAGTCCATCTTGCTGCTGGAATGATGGTAAGCCTACTTTTATTTTATATGTTTATGCCATACCTTCATGTTCAGATGGAGATTTTATCAAGTCTGACTATTCGCAAAAGTGCTAATCTCTAAACAGTGATAGTTTTGATTCCATGGATGGATTTGCTATGTAGCCATATCAATTTGAGCCATGCAATTGAAAGGCATAAAACAACTGTTAATATCTATTTTCTTGCTGAAGTGGATGAACTTCATTTGTCCAGACCTGTTTGATATAGGACAGGGTTCGAAATTTTGGAAAATAGGGTTTATGCCGATGGTAGGAATTTGGCAGGTAGGCACAAATATGGTTGGAAGTCACAAGAAGGGATTGTGATCTAGGTTTCAAAGAAGAGAAGAATCTTGTTTAAAGTAAGTGGTTTCTGTGTTGTGAATGCTAAACCGAGAACACTGTAGGAAAACTAATTAGACCTTGAATGGTAGCTCAAAAGAGTTAATCATGTAACTGTCATGTCTATTGGTTATGAAGTATGGTTTTTCCTTTTCTGCTATACGAAATAAGAATAACTTTTGTAAAGTTGAACTATGGATACACCTCCCCCCTCATTCCCTCCAAAGTTAAGAAAGCAGAAAAGAAATTCTCATCCTTGGTTGGCTCTATTTGTATATAACTGGCCTTTGTTTTTTTTTTCAAAAGTGAAGCTATGCTATGTTGATGTTACACATTCATAATAGACATTGATAAGGGGAATTATGAGAAGGTCAAAATAGTTTCTTTTGGCATCCTTTTGACCCTAACAAGAAGGGGAAATCTTAGTGTTTAGTTCAAAACAATGTTGTTTTACATTTAGCATTTCTCCTGTAAATACCAAAAGGAACAGTGTTACAAGCAAGCTCTTATGTTGGTTGTTTGTAAACACACCGAATTACAAGAAGGTTTTTCCTGTTGGTCATTGGAAGGCATCATATTCAGTTTGCTATAAATTGCTTCGTCAGATTAGTAATACTGAAATGCATGATGCTGTAGTAGAAAAAGAATTTGGTGAAGTAGCCCTAAGAGTTGATGCTCACTCTTTGGTGCCTGTAGAATCATTTAACCCAAGATAGTTTAGAATATAACTGTTGGTTATGAAACAAACTGCTTTTTCTTTGACATGTCAATAGTTTGTCATGTGCCAACTCATAATGGTCAAATTAGCTCCCTTCTCTCTCAAGTTTAGCCGTACTTTAAATTTTTGCAGCTTGTCCCCATCCTTTCTGAACTTAATGTTTTCTTGCAAGGATTGCATGCATAATTCTTAACAACTTGTTTTTCCCTTTTTTTTATCATTTCCCCCAAGACTTTGATAAATTTTGCATCTGGTGGCTGCGTTATTGGGATTCCTCTTCTCTTCTTGATGGCGATCTTGACATTGATGCACTGTGGGAGGATGGTGTGGAGAAGTTTAACTGAAAACCAAAGGCAAGGTAATTCATAACAACCACAAACTTTTGCAAATCCACCTTTGTTTAGTTGCACCCGCACAGTTCCTACGATGCGGGGTGGTGGACATCTAAGCCAAGTGAAAGCTCCTTTTCAAATGGAGTAAGTTTGCAACATCTAAAGGCCATTCTTTCAAACCCGTGTCTAGTGGCACGTTTGTGTATCTACTTGTTTATGTTTGTGAGGCCTCGTGGAGTTGTATAGTTTTGGTGTCTTCTCACGGGGATGGGTAATTCTTGTAGTTTATGTGCCAAGACAGCGTTGACAAGTTTCTTCAACATACAGTCATGTATTTACTTTGTCCAATTCAATGGACATTAACAGTTTGGTCTATCCTGCTGGAGAACGACATAATTTTAGTTCTATTTTCAATTTGATCATATTGTGAAACCATGGATTTATGTTGGACGCCATCATTAATTACACTTTGCCACTCTCTCCTGTTTTCTCCCTGGGGTCTTTCTTCTTCTCCTTTTCTTTTGGGTATCAAGACTTACAATGATAAAACAAGTATATTACCAGTGAAACAGACGTTCAAATGTCATCATACTGTCTGTATAGCTCAATATTTAATTGTCACCCTTGAATTCAACTCTATCATTGTAATTGTAACTCTATTTTGGATAATAATTAACAGCAATATTTTTGATTGGTGGATGGTAATAAAATTGAAAAATAGTTTACTTGACAATAAAGAATTATTCAAAATTGTTTAGTCAATAGTTGTTATATGCATTTGTGTCTGCTGTCAAATTTAACGTCATGATTTATGTTTTCAAATTTATTTAAATTGTGTAAATAGAATATTTATGGAATATTTTTTTGTCGTTAATGAAGTATAGTATAATGAAAAATTCAATTGAGTCATAGTGTACATGGCAAATTGGATATTTATCTCAGATTTTGATAGTAATCTAGTTATATAAGTGGACATATATAACAATATTAGTATTACTGTTTTTCTTATTTGCATGTATACTGATATTCTATACTTACAATATTAACATTTGAGTATGATTAATATTTTGAAAATTTTAAAACAATTAAAGAAAATTCAATTACAATCATTTTTCTAAGGTACTAAAATGGTATACATGATTTCAACTCAACTTATATAAAAATTATTTTTGAATGATTTAATTGATATGCAAGATTAAAGGAAAAGAAAAGAAAAGAAAAATAAGAATTAAAGAAATAAGAAAAAAAAAAGCATAGACAAAACTTTTAATAATAATTATGATTAATAGTTTGGGATTCATTTTCTTTCCACTCAATTTTCTTCCTACCATATCTTTCCATCTTTGCCACTCAAGTCAATGGTCTCACAAACTAGTCATATTTGGCAAGCATGCAACGAGGAAGCTTCCACCTCCACCTTTCTCATACAAAAAACCAGTGAAAAATCAATATAACAAAGAACATTAAATCTTAGGCTTTGAATTAACTAACTGTTTGATTTACATTTAAAATGGAACAAAATAGGGGAAAAAAATAAAAAGAATACAACAGACATGGTAGCAAAATTAGCCTTCAGTAATCCTTCTGATCCCAATTTCATTATTACTACCCAAAGAATCAACACAATTTCTTATATGTATTACACCAATAGAACAGAAAAGCAAAAAGACAATACTTGTAATCAGTTTAGCAGGCATTTATGCATAGTTCTGGACTTTCTTTCACTTGAGAAAGAACTTCCAAATATCTCGATCAGCCACCTCTTTAATTAAATGAGCTCCAAAAATGCCTTCTTCATCAACTAGACTTCTGAGGTGCCGTGCTGCATTGTTGAAGCCAACATAATTCCTCTTTGTTGCCAAGTATAATACTCCATACGGAGGCCTCAGACACTGGTTGTGCAAAACGTGGAGTGAAATTAATAAATTACGTTGAAATGCAGAGAAAATAAACATAGAGAAAAACCAAAACTGAATTTCATAATGCATCCAGCTAAAAGAAAATGAAATTAAGAGGGGAAGTCAATAGAAGTAATCGCAGCTAGGCAGAAAGCAGCTTGTTCAAAAATGTATACCGTGATATGACTAGGGTGTGACCCTAAGGTTCAATACAAATACAAGCTTACTTCAAATCAGCCATTTGTCCAGATGCCAATGTCACTTCCATCAGTCCTTTTTTTTTTTTTTTTTGCTGTAACCAATCATTCAAGTTGATCATGATAATTTTAGTTGATAAGAACCAATTATGGTTATTTAGCAGATTACTTTCGACCTATCTATTCAGTCTTTTCAAAATTAGTTCAATGCCAGGATAGGAGCGGCAGCAGCAACAACAACCAAAGTTTGTAAATCTACATACCGTTCCCAATTATTTCCAATAATATTTCACAATCTTCCACAAAATGGACAAGGACATGATGAAGACCGAGGTACCCTTCTTTCCTAATTCATGGAACCAAGGTCAAAAATAATACCAACGAGGTAAGAAACTAACCTTCTTAATTAGTGCATATAACTTCTTCAAAGAGGAAACTGAGTATGGAATTTCTGTCATTAAAATAACATCATAACCACCTTCTCCCTGATCTATCTCACTAGCTCTTTCCCATGCCCGGCTTCCTGAAAGCTTTCTTGATCTCCTTGAGGAAACTTCCTGTGCTATGATGCTACCATCTTGGCTACTGCATCCGTCCATGAAATCCTCCTCGGAGAAGCTCAAGCTCATTCCTGTATTCACTTCAGACACATCATTCCGAACAACAGACAATACAGTGGGGAGTTCTTCCCAATCCCCAGCATAGAAGTGCACTGTTGGGGCAAGTGTTTGTCTGGATGGAGTCAAAGGACTCTCAGGCTGTCGACTCTGCCTGTCCCGAGCTTGCTCAAGGTTTGCAAGAACATTTGGTATGGTCATACATCTAATAGTTTCTGCACTGAGATCTTGAAAGTGCACTGTACAAGCACCCTGTACCAAAAAAATGAATAAAATGGAATGGAAGTAGATCTTTCATAAAAATAACCGATTATTTTTCAGCATACGTCTATGCCAGTTGCTCTCATTTATCAGACTCCCCCAACCTACCCCTTTTGTGTGTGTGTGTATCATTCCCAATATATTAATAGTTGATACCATTAATATCTTATAGAATTAGTAAGATAAAAGATACAGACAGCACATAAGAGGAACAATCTAAGATCAATAAATGGAGTATACCTTCAGACAAGCAAAAATTCCAGGAAGTCCATAGCCACAACCCAACTGTAAGAATTATCAAATAGGATGATTAGCTCACATTCTATATCAAGGAGAACTAGAAAACAGGGAAATTAATTCCTTAACTCTTAGGTTTTATTCCATGGACGGAATTCAGAGAAGCACAAGAGCAAGGAAGCTTATAACATCCAGAACTATTCTAAAATTGCAAAATAAAGTTTGAATTTGTTTAAAAATGGCAAAGAACAAAGATATTCAAATGCACATTTATGTTGATTAGTTCTAGCTCAACATAACAGCCAAAATTCTTTTCTACTCTATGAGTACATTTACCAAACATTTTAACAATATCATCTGGATCTAAACACACTTTTCAATAAAGAAAAGGAAAACACTAAGATATCATGTCAATAGTTAAAAACAAATTCAAAGAAAAGAAATTAAATACTACATGGTCCGATGGCTAATGTTTTCAGATTTTTATATACATTACCTCAAGCACCCTTTTCCCTCTAAAGCTCAACTGTCCATCACGAATCTCATGCTTAAGGACATTAACAAGATCCATAGAACTGTCCCAAGATTTCAGAAACCCTGCAAAACAAAATTATTTTATAGCTGTTAGTTACAACTTATCAATTTGACAAGTCAACACATGAACTGACATCAATACTTTGTAACAATAAACATAAATTTTTAAATAAAAATTACCATTCATTAAAAATTAATGCATAACTAATATGCCCTACCATCAGGTTTTGAGGAAATCAGTTCAGAACCAGTGAAACCAATAATATCAGCGACGCTAACCCTTCCCTGTAAAAGGTGAAAAAGTATCGGCATGCATATCAGAAGCTCTGTTTTTAAAATAGCACTGCTACTGAAAGGACAAAATATATACATGAACACAACATGTGTATGTGTGGATGTAAAAGAGGGAAGAGGAAAGTCTAACAAAATATTACAGTGAGCAAGAAAAGATATGAAGCTGCCTGATAAAACAATCCAAAAAGAAGTCAATATACCTTGAACACATTGAGCCCTTGCAAATCTACATTATCCCCCACATACTTATAAGGATGAGCTGTCTGCACAATAGCAGAATGTCTTAATTTTGAATGCAAATATAATCCCCCGTCACTCACATAATAAGCCATCTCATTGCATAACAGTCAACCATTTGAATCTTGAGTAATACATTTAAATTTCACAAGTAATTCTTGACAGGGAGAAAAAAGTACACCTTTGAGGGAAGAATCTCCACAGCTGGTGAAGGTAGATGGACATCTCTCTCTGATACACTGGACATGCTTTGGCTTCCTCGATCTTGGGGCACCAAGCCTGGCAAGCATTGTGCAAGCAGTGATGGTGCACGCATCTTGGTCTGATACTACGAAACAGGTTTTTAAGTAAGAAGAACCTGAAGATATCAACATTTTCCATTAATACGCAGATCATTCCTTGAAATCATTACTACCAGCAATAAGAACCCTTTTGCAACTAGATCAAAATCACACTATCAAGAGAAATAAGGAGCTAAAAACTACAAATGCAAAATCTGTAATGAGAAAAATTGCAGAAAGAGGAACAAAAGGAAATAACTGGTAAGGTCAGTTTTACAACTAAATGTACCAGAGCCAAAATCTTACACAAAATACCATGAGGTAATTCAACTTTCATGGGAACATCTAACTTTTCTAAGAAGACAAGACAAGCAAATTCAGCAAATTTGCTCTAAAAAACAAGGCACATACTTACACATTAATTACATCAAAATCTTTAATTTCTTTTATAGGTAACTTGGAACCATTAATGTTGGAGGCAAATCTTCAGGCACAAAAACAAAACCCAAAATTTTAATTTCTTCAAGAACCATCAATAAATAAAGACTATAAACAAAGTTCATGCATAAATCAGAAAAGACTAACATTATGGAGAATTAATGAAAATCAAGATGAATCGAAATCTTAAGTTTCATCAGCAGAGTCAAACTCAAACATAACAAGATCAACTTAATTTAAAATACTAAAAATGAAATACTCATAACATTCCAGCAAAATACAGCATAAAAAGGTCAAATTACCGAAGACTCTCTCAAAACATGAAAATTCCGGAAAATTAAAAACAACCCACATCAAAATATATCAAACCAACAAAACCCAGAAGCAAGGAAAAAAAAAAACCTCTTACCTTGAAAGGAGAAATGATCAGCAAACAAT